CACTCTTGCCATCTTGCTTTGTGAAATGCAAGGAAGGGAATTTCAGCTGGAACATGAGAGGAGCAGAGAGCAGGCACCTGCAACTGCCAAGCCGTCTGCTTTTGTCCCTTGGGTGTGCTGGGAATTGATCCTTTCCAGAGAAATTAATCCAAAGTGCAGAGGGGAAACTTGCAGTCTCTCAAGCAATGAACCATGCCAGCTCAACACATCTAGACAGGGTGATGGCTCTGGCTGTGCAAGCATGACCCTGTGCTTGTGGACTAGCAAGACTTGGTAGACAAGTACGTGGGGATAAAAATGAACATGGGTAATTTACACGCATTGGTGCATTGGTGGGGGGAACAAATGAGGAACTGCCTTGCATATAGATATGATCATATAAAAATTTTTTTAACCTTTTAAAATTTTTTACCAACTATCAGCCATAAGCACTGAACTGCTGGAGTGTTATAAACCGCTCTCTGCCACACCTTGGCCTCATCACAGGGGAGCACACGAACCTTGCGTTTTATGGGCAGGCAGGATGTTTCCTCTGCTCAGTCCTTCCTTGGCTGACCTGCTCTGGCTCCCTAGACCAGGGTGCTCTGCATCACAACCCCAGACGTGAAGGGACCTGGGTCAGAGTTAGTTGTCTGGACAGTCATGCTCAGGTTCTTCCATTCCTAGTGGGAAGACAATGGTCTTTACCTGCTCATCTCTATGTAGAGGGCTGTAATTCGAGCAAGTGGTGGCTGGATAGAGGCCTAACTCAGAGCTAGTATCCCCATGGTCACATCAGTCCGATGTACGGACAGTGCACAATGATCCCATTAAAATCATATTGGAGATGATGACACAGCCCCTCTCCCTGCAGATAAGCACCGTTGCTCCATGAAGATTTGACTAGAACCTAGGCTATACCTTTTAGTTTAGCTCCAAGTCTGCCATACTTTGAAGTGTAAGCATAATCAATGCATATTTGTCCACAAACTGACCATTTTCTGAGACTGTCATATATAGAGTTCCACTGATGTAGTCTGCATTTGTTAACTATGAAAGGAGCTCTCTGGGAAGGAAATATTAAATAAAGAAAATATCTTTGCTGGAAAGAAACATCTCATAGGGTGGTTGTTTTCCACTATGTTCATTTTATAGCAATTCAGGCTCATCTCCCAGGTTATAACCTAAAGGGCTTCACACACCTCATAATCAATATCCAAGTGATCTGAATCCCCCTTTGTTCGGAAATGCTGGGTATGCTTGTCCACCGTGAAGTTCACTTGCTTGTTGAAGCGCTCTATGAGAACCGAGTGCCAGTGTTGGTCATCCAAGAGGCTGCCCAGGGTGACGGACATGTGGCTGTTACTGAAGTGAAGGTTGGAGTCCCCTGGAGGGGCAGACACAGGCAGAAGACACCAGAGTTACCTCCAGGCCCTTACATGAAGCATGGGGACTCAAGGGGATCACAGAGCAGTGCTCCTTGATGCAAACTGGAGCTCTGCCCATTAGAAACAGACCCTTGTCAAAGCTTGCTTTAGATTCTTTGGGCCTCTTATTCATACAATGTGTGTAGATGCACATGCACACTTACACACACTTTTTTCTGCTTAAATCCTTGTGATAAACCAGGAGGTTTTCCTGATGTTACACCCACACATTGCAGCACACAGGGGATCGCCGCTCTGCCTGTGCCCTTGGTTTTGCTACACATTCAAGGCCCTGATGTTTTAAGAGCTTCCTTCAGGTTGCACCAAAATCTCCTATCTATTCACATTAACAGACCACTCCTGACATTTCAGTTTCAACTACGTGCTTTTTGTGTCGTAACAAGAGAATTGCACCTGGTCATTTTCAGAGAAAAAAAAAGCCACAAGTCAGTGAAGCAATATGAACATAAGTTTTTGTTCAGCTCAGAAAGATTCTTAAATCTGGTCTAGGTCTCCAAAAGTTTGGATCAAAATATTTAGGCCCTAACCCTGGTGACTTCCAGCACTCTATTGTTTTCCAGTTGGCTACATGTTTGAACACTTCAGAGCCTCTCACTGAAAGGGAATATGTCTCCTTTTTTATATTGCAGTAGAATGGAGAGAACGCGTGCTCCAAAACTGTCAGGTAAGATGCAAGCAGATTCAAAAGCAGACATCAAAACCCTTGCCCATGACATATGAATGCACAGAGAGGACTTGAAATGGCTAAAATCTGTAATTTGGGTCTACTGCTGAAAGAAAAAAACCCATGCTCTTATCTCAGACTATGTATTCACACCAGTATCTCCTCTGGAAGAAGTAACACAATACATTTAACTATACTGTATTGTTATCATAGTATGAAACGTGTAAGAGGAGGACAAATCAACAGAGTCAAAGAATCCTAGATTCAGAGACTTAGGATGTAGCTACTTGGTCCAAGTAACATCCAAATACCAAATCAGAAAAGTGCTGCATTATTATTTCTACCCTTTAGTGAACTAAATAAATAAAAAGAAAGAAAGAAAATACTATTTGGAGACTAAATAATTAATGAGCTTATGTAAAAATTAAATCCAAGATCTGTGGAAAATTATAACTGACATTTAAAACAAACATGATTAAGCATGAGGGGGAAAATACAGAAAGAATTATCTATGAATTCTGTTTCAGTACCTCCAGTTTGCTCCCACTAGTTTATGATTTCTTTTAATTCCCGAAGTCATAAACGGAGGACTAAGATACTGCACCATTACCTGCTTTATCTGCTCTAGACAAACTTCTTAAAGTGTCCTGGCATTCCTAGTCTGAGATCTGCCCCTGCTAATACTATGTATTACCAGATGCTACATCTCCCATTTTTACTAAAACCAGACTTGGCAGTCTAAGCACCATGTACATGAACTGTAAATGGCTCAGATTATTTTATTCATCAAAGTTATTGAGAGTGGCAGGGAAAAACTTGGACCTTAATTCCTACCCCTCCTTGCCCTCACCGTCATGGTTAACAGTGGGCGGGCTTTGGTTTCAGTTTCCCAGTTAGATGGGCCACTGAGGCTTTCAGACCAAGTTCAATACCCAAACGGTAAGTGCAGCTCCTGTGCTGATCAAAGCACAGCAATGCAGGCATTGAAACTTTTCCCCAACTCAAACCCCTCAGTATGAGAAACATGAGTCAGCAGGGACTGCTGAGGCTACTCACAGATGAAGCCAACGTAGATTTTGCAACAAGGCTGAGAGTAGGGGTATGATCACTGCTACTACAGTAGTTCCTGCTGTTATCAAAGTGCTTTAGTGTACCCACTAGGAAAAAAACAAGCATCCTTCTACAGAAACAAATTAAGTCAGCCTTTCATCTGTCCCTCTGATCCAACATGATCACATAGTGATGGTCTTCCAGATATTCACAATTTTCAACTGAAAGCACCTCCAGAAGCAAAGGAATACCAGTGTGCACAACGTTTAGACCTGACTGTTTTCATTTAAATTCTGTATTCTCAGCTCAGTTCTGACCACAGAATGGAAAAAATAAGACTCAAACTAAAAATAAACCTTTTGCACTCCAAGCCAAACTTCCTGGGAATGCTATTCTTAAAAATACTAACAATAAAAATAAAAAAAGGAGGAAAGAAAAGAAACAGAACTTTTTTTTTCTTTTTTTAAAATCACTTCTTGGAAGTATCATCAAGCAAAGGTCAAAACTTCAAAAGTTGTCATTGAGCAGCTCAGCCTTGGTCAGCAACATTCAGAAGAGCCAAGGTCTCTTCTTGGCTCAGCTATCATGTCCTGCATGACATCAGTCAAGTGTATTCTCTTTTGCTTCCCCTTCCATCTTCTCTGACCAGTATTTAAGCTGTGAGCTGTTTGAGGCACACAGCATGTTTTGTTGATCTCAGCTGGAGTTTCTAGATACTGTCTAATATAAACAATAGATTTATAAAAGCAAACCAAGACAATCCTTGATTGTAATATGTGAAGTAATAATCCTAGTTACCCTTACCCAGGTTGATGTGCAAGGAGAGCTTCCCTTTCTGCAGTTCCAAGGTAATGTAGTCTCCACGCTGTCCTTCTCCATGGAATAAGACTCCATCCCCCTGCATGCTCTTGAACCTCAAGGAAACCACATCTTTGAATGTGCTCATAAGCTTCTGGTTGAACCTGTAGAGGAGTGAACTTCTGCCATCGAAGTCTGCAATGTCTGACTCTGGGAGAAAGAAGATGGCAAAATGAAGAGGAGGGGCAGCATCAGTAGAGGGACTGTATTTTTTCAGGATCTTTTCAAATATCCCTTGGAGCCAGGTATTCTCAGAAGCATACATCCATAGGAGGTACAAGGCATCTGGGCAACCACATTTCACCCATTTCCAGTCCTCTCCCTCTGTCTGGGGAAAGTGAACACTAGGATAAAACCAGAACTCCTCTGCACTTGTCTTCCTCTCTCACGCATGACTGCTTTCTCACTCAACTCTCAGTCAACATATTTCAACAGAACAGGTGCCTTCCATTGTATTCAGATCTCCAGAACAACCCTACCCCATTTGCTGTTTGTCTCAAACACACCCAGGATGTTATTCATCACTTTAAACACTTCAGTTCTCACTCCACTTTTTGTATCTTCACAAGCATCTGTGGAGCTGTTTCTGTGTGTCGGCCATGCCTGCATCCACCTTTGCATGCAAATAAGCAACATCTTAGCCTCTGAGGCTTGGCTGCTTGTTTGTGATGAGCATTTATCAACCATGTTTCTGCATGCAAATTGACTAGGTTGGCAGGAATAGTCAAATATCAGTTCAAAAAGCTTTTGAAGGGATTTCATGGGAACTGAGCATCTAAACTGATTATACACCTTTGAAAATCCTATTAGAAACATATTTTCCACTTCAACCAGCCTCTAAAACCTAATCACTGTGATGTGAAACAAGCTTTCAATTCTTCAATTGCAATTAATATTTTGATTGCAATTAATATTTCCTTTGGCAGCAGCAGCCTGCAGTACTTTCCTTGCTTTATAAAGTAATATTTTAACAAAATGTATTTTTAATGAACCTTTTTTTAATAAAACTTTTTTTAAACCAGAATATTTCAGATAGCTTTGAACACTTTGAACTAACACATTGTATCTGAACATGTGACTGACATAACGTAAATTCAATTCCAATTTCTATCCAAATGTAATTTGGTACAATTTATGGATAAAATATCTACTTGTAAATAATAAATATGTCAATTGTTATTTCCTGTTAATATTAATTATTATAT